TTTGTCCTTAATTGTCCACCTAGCTAATTAAACAAACCTCGACTCCATGTTATATGAAAATCAGCCGTGCTAGATGTATTTTGCATCATTTGCTTATCTAAAGCATCTGTTGCCAAACAAAAACGAAGCTCATTTAATGTTAGGCTGCTAAGTATTGGCGGAATTAAGCCCCTGTCGATAACCTTCGGTTTATGAATCTACACTTATTATGCATTTGCAGTTGATATATTTCTGCTTGTTGCTAAGTTGCCGAACTCTTGTTCCAGTTCTTTTTCCATACCAAGTTATCCAGCACGCTGTGCAGCACTGTCTTGATTTTTCAAGTTTTTTATCTCAGCTAAATTGTCTCCATGATCTTCCGTTCCATCGAATCGATACGCCCCTGTTATAACGGATCATCGCTACTGAAGGCGGAATATTGCATACATTTTTCAAGAAAGTAAGTAATTAAATAAAGTACTTCGGTTTTCTGTCTGCATCCTAACAAAGAATAAGAGGCACTTTCTACTAATTCTGTTTTTACCCCGTTAGACTTTGCTTATCACTGCAGGTATTAGTTTCAACACTGAAAATTTCGCATTTCGTCCTCCGGTCAGAAACGTATGGTTCAAATTAACTTAGAAACGGAGTGATGCCGGACCATCCAAATAGCGCAGTGGACGTTTCCTTCTTTTCCACTCTAACCTTTTCATTCAAGATAAATCAGTTGGTCCATCGTCTTGTTAAAGACATATCGGCTTCCATTCAAAGGGCAGACAATACAGCAAAAATAGTTTTCCCCTGCCATTTGGTTAAGAAAACAATACAAACGAATTTGTCCCCCTACTTCTTTCGTCCAGGGTTTAAACTGGAATGTCCTTCTACATAGATCTCCCTTAATAAGCACGAACACTTTGCTAACTCCGATTACTACTGCGTTGTTAGTCGATCACTTTGTTTTTCATACAGTCATAGCGGCTTAGGCAGCATGGTTTAGTGTTGATTTACCTGCTGTACTGTATTTACCTGCAATACTGTTAGTTTTCTTATACCAGACGAGCAGCAACAATATCAGTTTAAATTAAAATTTTAATCGAATCTTAAAGTTAGGAATAACTTATAAAACTTAAAGTCAGGAATAACTTATAAAACTGACTGAAAAATCGCCTATTATTTCTTCGACTCGGTTTTATCCTTTCCTTGAGTAAAAATATGGAACGTACAAATAAAAAATCTTACCCTCCCTAACAAATTCAACCGATCATGATTTAATACGATATGAAAGAATCACTGCCAGAGATGGCCTCAGACAAAGTTAGCATCGAAGAACATATGATCATCAGCAAGTGTTTGTACTTAATTCATAATACTTAAAAATGGCACTATATTTAATAGCAGTTACATTACCTGTTGCCAGTTCGTAACCGTGGTGCATCAGTCGATTTGCGAGTGCCTGTGCATTTTTTAGCACTTGGACCTGGTAGTCGTAAAACTCCGTTGTTTGTGCTTGCTTGAAGGCCACTGCCATAGCTAGAAGAAGAGTATTAGTTTCTAAATGTCAATCAAGAGACAAAAATATAAAACATATTTAAACATCAGTAACACCATAAACACACACACACACACACACACACACACAATTCCATGGCAGACAGCACAAATAAATGGGAGAAGTTTCAACATGCAAGCGACAGTTGGGACAACCATGGCTATGTCCTTCATCACACTCGTTATAAGAGGATCCAAGGAAGCAACAGCATAAGTAACACACCAGTTCAATGTTACCACAAAGCACCGAACACTATATATAAACAAATCGAAAGGCATCGTTCGCTTTAGTACGCACCCAGTGTTTTGTTTCAGAATGCATTGATAGTCGGCAACTAGACTTTGCGTGCATCACAGGCCATAGAAATTCTAGAGCTAAGCATCTGCAGTTGTTAAATTTGATGAAACAGCATATGCAAAATCAGAAATTCAGTACCTTAGAGATTTTAACAGTACTGGAGAATATGAAGAAAAAAGATTGTACAGTTAGATGAACTGGTTGAGTGTAGGCGCTTGATCCCAGCAAACTAGAATTACCTATGGAAATTAAAACACGGCAGATGCCGGCCTGTTTTACAGCAGTAATGAAAAGTCGATAATGCCAGCGCATATATGCGGACAGGCAACGACGGACAATGTTATCCAGTTGCATGCAAAAGTCTGTGACAATCATAAAATTACTACCAACGCTGAGAAAAGAATTTAAAATTGGACTTAGTATTTCTTACAAGATAAAAACGTTTCATCATCATACAGACTGACGAAGTTTGGTGCTACAGTAAAAAATGAGTCAAATATAACTAGAAATGCTGGCAAGTTACGATTCATAAGCAAAGAGAAGCAACCACTGACCTAATCATACGTGATTTACTTAGGCTGACCTATCTTACCATCGCAAATAAACTTATAACATTATAAACCAGCACAGTTAGGCCAATCATACATTATGTCAGATCGTATTATTTTAAAATATATTATCCTGGTTTGAATTATAGCTTCAAAAAAAGAAACAATCAACAATAAGAAAAGCAGAATTACTAAAAATCAATAAACTTAAATATTCTTTTTAAAATTAGGTTTGCAACCTGTGCTGATTACATTAGTCAGCAATATATAGTCAGCTATCAAATGGATCAATGAGAACTGCAGCCCTGCGAAGCGCTTGCAGCAAACAGCGATGGGCATATATTACACATGCTTTGAACGATCACACCAAAACACCGTACTGCCTCCATTATTTGCAGGTCAGTGACATGGCACCCATTTCTTCGGCTAGTTGCAGCAAAGTAGCGTGATCGATTTATTGCTCAAATGAATTAATAAAAAAAAATTTAGGCGGCGCAGGGGCTTGAAGCCGGCATCTATGAGATGCCAAGTAAGTTACCAACCCTTTAAGCGACTGCCCCTCCATAAATCAGAACAATCAAAATTTCAACACTGTTGAAAGTAAACAAATGAAAACGCATACCGAATAGATTTAAAGCGAGATACACGTGCAGCAAACTGAAAACTGACACTCAACCTAACGATGAGAGTTTTTTTTAAAACTTCAGGATATGAAATTCATTTTATATAACATTAGCAGAAAATCAAATAAAAATAAATCGAAAAGAAACAAACCTGAAATTGTGTTTTCATGAGGACCTCCTTGCAGTCCAGGAAAAACAGCTTGGTCGATTTTGCTTTCCAAGTCATACATGATCGGCTCTCCCTTCGCCGTACGCTTTCGAATTCCTAAGGTGATACGTAGATTAAGATTCTTCAGAATGCACTGCATGCAAATCGGTCTCAATTAATGTACGCCTGTGTTAAGAGTATTTTAAGATTAAAATAACAGATGTAAAACTGGAATGTGGAATAGTAAGCGATTAAAGTTTGCCTGTTACAGTATACTTATTTCAGTCAGCGCTAGGGTTCAACCCATGTGCGTATTTGGACTCCTGACACGCGCAGTTAAAATCTCTTCCGGGGAAATAACCCATATTAATATGTTACGACCTACATAGTTCGCTCAGTTTCTCTGCCAGCTTTATCGCTTTTGAGGAGTGGAGAAAATATCACAACTGAACAATCGAAGGAATGACAGATATCTGAAGAACCGATGGCCACATACGGCGTGTAACTGCTTACTACGGATCAAAGATACGTAGAACAGGGACCTAGTGAGGTAATGAGCAACGCGGATTAATAGAAAACATTCGTGTCGACACATTACAGGATGATTCGGTCGCTGTGGTCTTTATTTGTGACCCTATAGTTGAGGAATCATAATCAGTTTAACGGTCAGTTTTTGCCGTCTATCGCACAATTCAATGGATGCCACAGAGAGACATTCTGCTGAACTATGTAATATATACTAGATCACTACAAAAAACTGATATCAGACAAAAAGCCAGCCATCAAGACCCCATCGTGTTATATCACAGCCCCTTGCTTGAAACTTCTGTTCCTAAGTAAGAAAACCCAATATAATGGCAGCAGGGTACACTCAATTTCTTTGCGGTCTTGCTTAAGTGAGCACTGTTCTTAGACTTTATTTCCATGAGTTCTACACTATTTGCTGCGCAAGCATACGAGAGCGACGTTTGCACTGCCTGTGGTTTCTTGCATCGCACTAAATCTTGCCGATCGAGTTTCGTGGACAAAACTGTTTCCTACTGGTACAGTAGTTTCTGCACAGTTTAACAGCGTTCAACATCAAACTGGGTATATCCAATTTGACGAATTAGAGTGGCGAGTCTTTGCTTCGATGTGGTTGAACATGATTTCTATTTTAAATATTCTGAAATTGTAAATTCTAAAAAAAATGTAAAATCATGACAAAAGACGATCACCATGCATCTGTAATGTTCCAATATACAGTGGTAACTCGAGTCACGAACGCCTCTAGTCACGAACAACTCGACCCACGAACACAATTTCCAAACAAACTTTGACTCGACCTGCGT